GGCCAAAAGGATGGCCCAGCACAGAAGATCAACATCATCAGGCCAGGACTCTGCGGTCTACACTCATCTCCAGGCCAGCGGTCACTCTTTCAAGGATGAAGATGTTCACATCCTGGACAGAGAGGAACGATGGTTTGAGAGAGGAGTAAAGGAGGCCATCTTTGTGAAAAGAAACCGTCCATCATTAAACAGGGGTGGAGGCCTCCGGGTTCAATTGTCCCCCTCTTACAATGCTGTGATTGCTGGTATCACTCAACCCCCTTTGAATAGTAAACAGCCATCAGGGTGCTAATGATCCTTTGTTAGGCTGATGGTCCTTCTTGAGCATGTGATCAGTTGGTTTTGGTTGTCAGCAGCAAAACTGGCTGATCCACCCTGAGAAGGTGCTATTTAAGAGACTGAGCTGAAAACAGCAGCTCAGACTGAGGAAGTCTCTTGGATGAGAGATGAAACGTTTCTACATTTTTTTTTTTTTTTTGCTTTGTTTTGTTTTTTGTTTTTTTTGAATGTCCAGAGGACCAGATTGAACTTTCTTGGATTGTAGAATACTGTTTTTACACTCACAAATGGTAACAAATGGTAACATATATATTTTATTTTCCCCTCAAAAACAATAAACACAGTGTACATCTCAACCAACACAAAGCTGCATATACAGTGGTCTAAATATAAAACAATAGAATAATTTACTGTATACAGTTACAGTAAAAAAAAATGAAATGCCGGTACTGTAAATAAACTACACTTCATCCTGTCTTCTGTTTCAATCTTGCCATAACACCTCATCCACATCACAAGCAATGTTTTCCCTGGCCAAGCAGTGAGGGGAATATCACCCAGCATGGTGAATCCAGCCATGAAAAGCATCAACTGCTATATGTCCACATGCATCTTCCATATGTTGGAGAAGGGGTACATGCATTTGTGAATTTAGGTCACGATTGGTGCTAGTGAACCCAGTGGTGCAGGCAAGCAGGCGAGGACTCAAGATTTATATTAAACAAATAAAAGATTTATTAACAAAATAAAAGAGCTGACAGGGCAGCAAAAACAAACAAGGATGGACAGGTGGTACTTACAGACAGGTCATCAACAGTGAGCAGTAGACAATGCTCAGAGAGCAGACTTATATATAGAGAAACACTAATCAGATGAAGTGAAGGCATCTGTGAGTGATCACAGATGCCAGGAGACGGAGACTGAAGACGCAGGACATAAACACGAAACAAGATTGGGCTAGACACCAAAAAAACACAAACCCTGTAGAGACATAAACAGAGGATCAGGGAAACACAGACACCAAGGACAAAACCACAATTCCTACACCTTCCATCTCCAGGATGAAAAAAATCCTCAATAGGATTGATGAATGGAGAAAATGGAGGGAGATAAACAACTGAAAAGCGTGGATGGGCATTGAACCAGTTACGAACCAGAGCAACTCGGTGGAAACATACATTGTCCCAAATGACAACATACCGGAACTGCTCTGGGCCATCTATCTGATCCGATGGAATGAGTGTGTTGTGTAGGGTGTCCAGGATGTGAGTAGATGGGCAGTGATGTAGTGGAGTATATTGTATTGGACTTACTTATACTGTATATAGTTATATTACAATTCTTTGACTCTTTATGAGTTGTGTTCAAATGGCACCCTGTAGACCTGCTTCATCCTCACATTATTTTTGTGTCAGATACAGTTCAGCATTGATAACCTTACCCTATTGATATTTTGCAGTACCTCATTGTTTATATTTCTTTGTATTTGCCGTAACGTCATGACATTATTTTATAGGAACATGTTCACAATTTCAGTTTCCTGTTGAGGAGACAGAAAATGTTCCCGTCCACCTTGTGTTAGTAATCGTTCAGTTCTGCAATACAAATAGTAACATACTGTAAACACTGTGTAGGAATACAAAGTAGGAATACTTTGCACAAATACTTGAAATATGAGAGTCATAGTCAGAGTCAGAGATTCTTTATTGTTGTTCGCACCATGTGGTACATGTGGTGGGACGAAATTATGTACACAGGGTCCCAGTTACATCCAACAATAAAAATGTAAAAGAAAAACAATAACATCAAAGATATGAACTAAGAAAAACATCCACTACTTCATAAACATCCTTCATAAACATACTTCGTTTTTACTGTCCTACAGAACTGTTCAAAGGCAATACCATACTACTGTACTCACTGAGTAATTATTGATAAGCAGTACTGTAGTTTCCTAGTGAGAGTACATTTCTTTCCTATTCTTATTTCAGAAAGTCCAGATAATGGATTCTACAGTGTACCTGCTCAAATTTGGTTGTGTTCTTTGTCCAGCATCTCTCATTGGGGTATCTCTATATCATGGCTGAGCACATGGTCAACCAAAGTGGCTCGGATCTCATCAGAGATTACGGTCCTTGGCCTTCCTCGTCCTCGTCCTACCTGTTCTACTCCTCTTACTCTCACTCCTCTGGCTCTGCCTGTTTCCTTTTTTTTTTTTTCCCCTTGTCCTGTCTGGCATTGTGACACTTAGAATTATTGTCTGAGTGTCAAAGTGATGCCCAACAGATTTACTTTCACAAGCAGAGCATTATGGCTGGCCTTAATGCTCCACTTGATACATAAATAAAACTTTATTAGAATTTGCTATGGGCTTGTTTCAGAGGTAATGGACATGGGGATGAAAAATAAAGAAGATAACAAAGCAGAAAAGTGAGAGAAGGGTTAAAAGGTAAAGAAGGAGATAGGAATAGAGGAGAGAGAGAGGGATAAAGAGAACACAAATCAACATCATTGAAGTCTGACTCTAGACCTGCGGAAAGAAAAAAAAAACAAGACAAAACCAAGAAACCACAACAACATATAGAATGATACTTGTAACATCATTAGAAAGTATTTTATACAGTACATGGTAATGCAAGATATACAAACCGGATTCCAAAAAAGTTGGGACACTAAACAAATTGTGAATAAAAACTGAATGCAATGATGTGGAGGTGCCAACATCTAATATTTTATTCAGAATAGAACACAAATCACAGATCAAAAGTTTAAACTGAGAGAATGTATCATTTTAAGGGAAAAATCTGTTGTTTCCAAATTTCATGGCATCAACAAATCCAAAAAAAGGTGGGACAAGTCCATTTTTACCACTGTGTGTCATCCCCCCTTCTTCTTACAACACTCAACAGACGTCTGGGGACAGAGGAGACCAGTTTCTCCAGTTTAGAAATAGGAATGCTCTCCCATTCATGTCTAATACAGGCCTCTAACTGTTCAATCGTCTTGGGCCTTCTTTGTCACACCTTCCTCTTTATGATGCGCCAAATGTTCTCTATAGGTGAAAGATCTGGACTGCAGGCTGGTCATTTCAGTACCCGGATCCTTCTCCTACGTAGCCATGATGTTGTGATTGCTGCAGAATGTGGTCTGGCATTATCGTGTTGAAAAATGCAGGGTCTTCCCTGAAAGAGATGACGTCTAGATGGGAGCATATGTTGTTCTAGAACCTGAACTAGTTCTCTGCATTAATGGTGCCTTTCCTGACATGCAAGCTGCCCATGCCACAAGCGCTCATGCAACCCCATACCATCAGTGATGCAGGCTTCTGAACGGAGCGTTGATAACAACTTGGGCTATCCTTGTCCTCTCTGGTCCGGATGACATGGCGTCTCAGTGTTCCATAAAGAACTTCAAATCGTGACTCATCTGACCACAGAACAGTCTTCCATTTTGCCACACTCCATTTTAAATGACCCCTGGCCCAGTGCAAACGTCTGAGCTTGTGGAGCTTGCTTAGAAATGGCTTCCTCTTTGCACTGTAGAGTTTCAGCTGGCAACGGCGGATGGCACAGTGGATTGTGTTCACTGACAATGCTTTCTGGAAGTATTCCTGAGCCCATTCTGTTATTTCCTTGACAGTGGCATTCCTGTTTGAGGTGCAGTGATGTTTAAGGTCCCAGAG